TAATCTTCTTTTACAGGTGCAAATGATTGTAGCTATTGTACTTATGGCAGTTAGAATTGTGATTACTAATGCAATTAACGTGTTTACAGCTTCTGTATCAGTGAAGTAGTTTGTACTTGGTTGTGCAGTGATTGTTGCAGAATTCGTTACAGTTATTGTTGATGGAGTTATTGTAGATGTGGCAGTTATAGTTATTACAGGTATTGTTACGTTGATTTGTTAAGCTTTGAGGATTCGTATTATTATTAATAGTAAAATGGTTATTTGGAGTATTGTCTTCATTGAGTCGTGATTATGTTTGTAATCTTGATTTGTAACTATTTATTGTTGTTTATCGCTTGCATCAATAGTTTAGTCTGTAGTGCCTGGTGGTTCCAATGTGGTTGTCTTTTAGGGTAGCTATTCCTATAGTTTCAACTTGTAAGGTTTCGTGTTAGCCTTTTCAGCCTTACTTTTCACTTTGGTGTCAGATTTGATTATTCGTATCTATCCGGTAGATTTGAAGTTGTCTCACTATGGTTTCAAGAGTTGATTAAGCTCTGTCTGATCTATGCGTTTCGCTTTGTCCTAATAGTATAGTTTATTGTTTTAGTTATTTAGTTTGCTAATGGTTGTTTTTTAGTTGAGCGCAATGATTAATGTGTTTCTTCTTTCTTTTATTACAGATTTATCCCCGACATTTACTCCTATTAGATATTAGATATATTTATATTAAAAAAATAATCTTATTATGAACAAAAAAAAAAAGCCTAAAAACGAACATGTAGCAGCGAAAGACACCAAAGATGACCACCGTGAAATAGCGACAAAGACGACCACCCGTGAAATTGCGGTACAAAGACACCACACATAAAATGGCGGCACTACAGACGACAACCCGTAAAATGACGCACTAAAGACGACCACCCGCGAAATTGGCGGCACCGAAGATGACCACCCGTGAAATGAGTGCACGAAAACTCTTTAAGGTATATGTTGTCGAATAATAATTTTATAAGTATTAATGCACTGTGATGAATTTTAATATGTTCGACGTTTTTATGAGTTATATTCAACTCGAACATATTTATATTCTTGGGAGCCGGTGGTATTTAAACAGGATTGATATATCGTCTGGGAAGTAGTATCCTTGGAATATGTTCAATGTAACTCTGTTGCCTGCGGACGCGTGTTATTCGAAGAACTTTTAGTTCGCCCGAGCTAAGAGTGAGGTAACATTGTTGATGTGGGAGAGTTAACACACGCTTATTTCGTGGCTTAACTAGCATATTTAGCTTACCTAGCTTGAACATATTCATGACGCCCCAGCTTGCTGGTTTGTAGATCGCGGATACTCGTTGCAGTAATGACGTCTTACAGACGGTTATATGACATCCTAGTTTTAGAATAGTACCATGCGGGCTGATGGGTTATGAATATTCTGAGTGCAATAATTTACGTTATAAAAACTATTTATTGGATAAATATACTAATAATTATATTTTTATTTTTCAAGGTGGCTAAATAGCCATGAAGCATTCCCGATTATAAGCACTGACTATCCCAAAATATTTTTTATTTTTTATTTATTTATTTATTTTTTTTTGATTCATTTTTGTTTTTGGTCTATGCAACATATTATAATTTTTTTTTATTTTTCATTCAGATACCTACGTACGTAACAATGTCGCCGTTCGAAGTTTACATTAGAGCTCATTTCGACGCTTAACCTTGGTGAATACGAGTGTAATTTCTTGTCACCTGATAAAAGCAGATTTCTTGAGCGTTAAGGCATGTGGTAATTTCTGTATTAGGATCTTGTATACGATCTTTTATAGCAATAGAAAAATTTTTTTTCGAAAAGATGCTATTTTTCTATAACCACGCCTAACCTTAACACGAAAAAAAAAGAACATTAGTCGTGATTGTTATCAAAAAAAATTCAATAAAGCGATTTATGCTAAACCTATCTTATTATTGAATTGGCGATATTGATGAAAGAAAGAAACGAACAAAAGGCACATAGACAACTGATTTAATACGGTATATATGAAGTTTTTCGTTAGTTGGAAGTAAAAACTAATGATTTTTTAGTAGTCGCGAGTAGCGAAATTAACATAAGACTTTTCAAGATCACTATTCGCTTCTTCTATAAATTGGATAACCAAATTTGTTTACTGATGTTTCATATATCACAAAGTCAAAAAAGAATTAATGAGGCAATAAGCACGAGCTTGTGATAGTTGAAAGTGTTGAAGTTGTAATGCATTATAAATAATATTTAGCAATAACGAATATAAAGGAATAGTAACCACAGTCCTTGAAGAAAGAAAACAAGAAATAATTAAAGAAAAAGAAATTCCAAAGCGAATAAAAATCAAAACAGAAGTATCACCAATACTTAAACAAAGCCTATCAGTATAACAAGCATCAGAACTATACGTATACTTAGAATATAAAAGAAAATTTAAACAAGGAACATTACCAATAAATAAATTAATATACTTAGCTACGAAAGCAAAGCAATATAATGAACCATAAAAATTCATCGAAAGTATACTAGAAAAAGCACCATATATAACAAAAAAATAATTAATGAGCTACGGAGAAATAGGAAACGAATTATACATCAAAGTTTTCTAACAATATTTCAACGATTATCCAAACCCTCCAACAAACGATCAGAAAATAAAACTACAAAAATATCTTAGAGAATTAGATCAAAAAATTGAAGATTTCCTGATAGGACAGCTAAAAACTATAAAAATAGCAGAATCAGTAACCAAAAGGTTTAATGACAAAAGAACCTATCAAATAAAATATTGAATTGATAATATATACAGAGAAGAAAAACATAATCCAGAAGAACTAACTAAAGAAGAAATAACAGTATACCTATTATACTCATTAATATTAAACAACAGATCTAAAATAAAAGAACAACTGGATATAATCCAAAAGAAATCATTCAACATAATTAATTGGTTAAAACTTACTTAGTGTACTTATCAAGAAAAGTTAACAACAATATTACCAAAAGACTAAAATGGCAACAGAATTCGAAGTACCAAAAAATCTTAACCAGATAGCAACTCTTATATCCGAATTCGATGGAATAGTTGAAAAATATAGAGAATGGAAAAAAGCATTAGAAAATGCATTTGTAGCAGTAGGATTAGGAAATCTAATCATATTTGGAAGATATTTAGAAACACATAAAAAAGGTTATACTTGACAAGCAGTAAATTATGACTCAACAGCAGGAAATGCATCAGAATGCAGATGGAGCACAGAAGTAATGCAAAAAGTATTTGCAATCATACGAACTAAATTAAGAAAAGATGCATTAGAAATCTACGATACAGAAATAGGAACCATAAATTGTTACTTTGTATTAAATATAGCCAATACAGATTGACTAAAAGATGCCGATGGATATCTAGTAACAAATATAAATTACCTTGCTGCAGCAGGAGGATGGCATGATAGTGTTACAGCAGAAGGAGGAAGAGTAGTACCAGCAATTACAAACGCAACTGTTTAAAGAGGATTTAGAAACGTATTTGATAAACACTTTACAAGAGATTCAATCCAACAAACAAACCAATCTGTATTTAACCAATTTCATTTTGGAAAGAAACTAGATTGGCATGATGATGCAGGAATGCGAAAGCAAATAATTGCATATAAGAAACTTAAACAAGTATCTAATTATGTATTTGCAAACAACTTCTACAGCAGACACTACATGTGGTTAATGTCAAGAATGCCTGAAGAAATAGCCTGACAAATATCTCTATCAGATCCAAAACTAGCTAATAAAGCTGAATTCTTTTTAAAAGCAGATAACATATTCAAAGCAATTTGAGTAACAATGAAATTATCAGGAAAAGTCAAAGGAGAAAAAACAAATCATTATTCCCAAAAAATTAATAACATGCAAACCAAATCAAGCAAGCCTAAAGAAGCATGCTACGAATGTGGAGAAATAGGACACTTTAGAAGAAACTGTCCAAAATTCAAAAGAAGAGAAGCCTACAATCGAGTACAATTATATAGCAAAAATGATCATGAAAGACAAAAGAAAATATTTGTAAAACAATTCTGCACTTACTGTGGAAAGACCAATAAATTTCATACTAAAACATGTCCAAACAATAATGAAAACTATTATGATGGAAAGAAAGCAAATGGACCAACATCTATAGTTCATAGTTATAAAGGAAATAATAAAGGAAAACCAAGATTCAATAAAGGAAATAACTTCAGAAGAAAACCATTTCAAAAAGGAAGACCTAATGGAAATCCCAGAAGAAGATTCAACAACATAAAAGAAGAAAAATCTGGAAGAAAAGAATATAAAAAAGAAACTTACAAATCAGAAAGAAAAGGAAATGATAAATCATCCTACAAAAGAAAGAAAGTAAACCATTACGAAGAAGATGAAGAAGAATATGATGAAGAATGCATCTATCATACTAAAGTAAAAGAAAATATTGAAAAAATCTATTCTTTCTAAAAGGGAACCTGCGAAGTACTCAGGACAAAATTCTGATAAATAGCCGAGATGATAAATTATCTAGTACTAAAGAGTATTATAGAACAATTAAATTAAACGAAAGTATACACAATATACAATGTATTAATAAACAAATTAATAAAAAAGGATCACAAAACGATCAATATAACAAATACTCTGCTATAGTATTATCAAATGAAATGTATCAAGAAGCAAAAGAAAACCCAGAATATTCATATCTGTTAAAAACATATTACTTTCCTAAAGAAGCTAAACAAGCTGAAAGATTTCCAAAAGGCAAAAAATCTTATGAATTCATAGCACTAATGAATAGTAAACCAATCAAAGTACTCATAGATAAAGGAGCAAGTGCAAGCATAATACCTTATAATGTAGCAAAAGAATGGAACTTATTAGAAAAATTAAATGGTAACCAAACTAAAACTGCAAAAGTTCTAGAAGGAAAAACAGTTACTAATTATGAAAAAGTAACAGTCAAACTTCAAATTG